TTCCCCTCCCCTCTCCTCCTCCCTCTTCGCTCGAAGCACCAGTCTCAGCCTCCCCAGGGCGGTGACCGGACTCGGAACTTGGAGATGCCAAAAATCTAGGGTTTTGACGGCGCTGAGTCCTTCGGCGGAGGGAAGAGGCTCGGATGGGGACAGTGAGGACGAGGAAGAAGATGGAGGAGGAGGAGAAATGGCGAAGGACGCAGCTCCGGAGAGATGGGACGTGCTTGGGCTTGGGCAAGCTATGGTGATTGCTCTACAAGTTTTGATTTTGATGCTTTTTAGTTGGAAGATTTTTTCCCCCTCGGTTATTTTCTGTGCAGTTAGTTAGCTGTGTAAATGTCGGAACTTGTTTGATTTTGCTGTCTCAGTTATCATTTTAAGTGATGCCGAGGTAAAAAGAGTGATAGATGCTATTGAAGCTAGGGTTTGGGGTTGGGAGTTGGGTGGGGGTGTTTAATTCCCCCTTATCTTATTCTATGTAGCTTAGTGAGTTTCCCCGAAAAGAGAAACAAAGGGCCAAATGCTTTTGATTGTGGAGGCATCTGTTTGAAATGTACTGCTGATTTTAGATCTGAGTTCTCGGGATCAATGCCTGCAATTGCTGTGCCCTATCTTGCATTTTGGTCGAAGCTGAAACTGTTGGGACAAATATAAGTATCTCGAACTATTGATAAAAGCTTCATGGGGGCTTATATCAGTATTTCCGTTCATAAAATAAGTACACGTCTTATATCAGGAATTCTATCATTTGATCCGATCTCGGCTTCACTTAGTCCTTTTTCTTTAATCATTCTGAAGATAACCGTTTAGAAATGCGGCCGTTCTCAAACGAAAATGGAAGTTTAGTCATATGCTGTTTCTTTTTCACAACACATTTCCAGTGTTGATTGTGCTTGTAAATTACTTTTTGATATGAAGCTTATGCTTCTATAGTTAATGATGTTTGTTGCGTGTTCTGTTAAAAAAGCTTCTGGCGTCGAATTCAGTCTTCTTATGTTAGTTCCGTGGACTCCTATGCTTCTAGGTGGATTTTTCAGGTGTGGTTGATGAAGCTTTTCTAGAGAGAGTTGGTATAGAGAAGGGGACACGGAAACTTATTAAACACGAGGAGAGAGGAAGGGTATTGCGAGCGATGGATGGTCGCAATTATAAGGCAGCTGCTGGCGGATCTCTCTCGAATACTTTGGTAGCATTAGCAAGATTAGGTAGCCAGTCCATCACCGGTCCAGGGTTAAATGTTGCGATGGCTGGAAGTGTTGGCAGTGATCCACTGGGTGGCTTTTTCAGGTAAGACCATTTCTGAAATTTAGAGAAGATTTGGTGGTCTAATTAGAAATATGAAGATTTTGGGTGTACAATTATAAATTTTTTTTTTTTTGGGTGGGGGGG